CTGGCATAAACTCCTGAAATGGAAAAATCAATCAATATATTGATTATTTCTTTGTGTATCTGCCCCTGGCCAAATCAATGAAACAATGCGTGCACGCTCCCTGAAGTAATTCACACCAGACACAGGTTCCAGGTTGTTGAATAACTTGAGGAAAGTTTATTCAGAGGGGACGGCAGGTCCCTTTTAAAGCAAAATTACATCATAAGCATTGTCAGAGATAACATAGAATAATACATCAATTATTGGTTAGGTGTTAAGTGGTTGCTCTAATGCTCTGCCTACTGAAGTGATGTCACCGGGACCATGAGGGTCTCCCACGGTTTCCCGGCGCCATCTTGCTGCACGAGGTAGTTAGTTGGTGTTAAGAAGGGAAGGGGGGGGGAGGAGGGTTTAGAAGCTTCTAGCAGCCATTTTGATTAAAACATGTGTGCTCAGCTTTATATATGATATATCGTGGAATGAGTAAATAGACATTTTTCACTAACTAGGAAATATGTGCAGACCTTATTTCCCCCTAAAATGGCTATTTACCATAACAACTGCTACTGTCCCTAATAAGTCCCTAACTGCCTGCAACTTATCTGTCTTAACAAGCATCGAACACTTCACTCCGTGGGTAACCCGCAGTGGCTAGTCCACCACATCTCCACACGTGAGACTTGCCTGCCAAGACAGACGCTTTCCCTACACTGTCCCTACAGGAAAGCAGTTGTTTGTTTGAACTGATGTGATTGAAGGGGTGTATGTGGAGTGTCATCTTCGAGGTCTGTGATGTCTTGATGTAGGAAAGTAGGGGTCACGTCATCTATAGTCTTATCTACCGCTTTCTGTAAGTACTTCTGTATGCAAGGGAGCACGCAACAGGTTATAAATAAGAAGATGATAATCATTATGAGAACAGCTGTCCCTACCTGGAAGAGGGTCCTTTGCCAACCATTCATCCATCCAAACCATCTGTCCCAAGTGTCAGTGACTCCTGAATTTTTCCCAGTGTTGTCTGGAATGTATGTACAGCATGTCATGGTCTCAGGGAGGATCTTACATACTCCCCCTTTCTCAGCTAAAATCATGTCTAGGGCCATTCTGTTCTGAAATGTAATTTGAGTAGTGGCTTGTAATTGTTCTGCTAGGCCCTGTAGGGCATCCCTTGTGTAGTTAATGAAGCGCTGCTAATTATAATAGATGTAGTTGATCCAATTGACATTTTTGTTAGCAGTTATCATTGGAATTAGGGATTCAAATCCTGCAGCCACTTCATCTCTTGCTTTGAATTCGTTAGGCACCCCCCTTGGCACACCTATGGCATCAATATACACATGGGGGTCGAAGCTCCCTCGGATAGGAGCCTCTCATTTGGTTCTAGAGTGTACATGTGTAAGGTTTAACGTGTTATGACTACCATCTGGAATAATGTGGATAGGCATTATGACTTTGGTTAGGGCACACTCCCCCCACCATTGCCCAGCTAATTGGGACCTCAATTGTTTGTCACCACATAACCAATAGATATCACCGATTGTCTTTGTGTGGTTCATTAGCAGTGATACAGGTGGATTATGGTAAATTGAGCAGTATCCTGATGGGAATTTGCCCAGATACAAACCAGCGTTCTTAGGTATTATATAACATGTGTAATTACCTGGGTAGACGGTGACTCCATCAGGTGGTTTTACATGTCCATGAGTGATTGGGTAAAGTCTCTTCCATGATTCACATGTTGAGGAGTTGGTGGTGGATTGTGCATAAAGACTCAGAACACATAATTCTACTTCAGGAGGTAGGCTTAGGGGTACTGTGCCCAGATGGGGCCTGGCTCCTCCACATACATAACAGTTAGTCTTATTATGTGAGTTGGCGTTATACCTCATCCATTCTAGCCACAAATTAGTGTCTGAAAACCCAGTCTCTACTGCCATGGTATCTTCAAAGGTGGGGTTGGCTATGGCTACCATGTCATGTAGGGTCTTAATATGTGGTTTTAATGGGTTAATGATCATGTGGGTGGTCCCTACCCAGTCTGGGGAGGTGAGCATGTCTTGCAGGTAAAATGTCCCCAATGCATTATGTGAACCACCTCCCTTCCAGTACATTCCCATCACATATTCCCCTGCGTCCCTTGGGCTGGGGTGTTCTATATTCAGGGTAAGTTTAATGGGAGTTGACCCTATGGGTTTACTCAGAGTCATTCTAGAAAGTAAGGGTTTCCCGTCTTTGTCAAGTCTGTCCAGTGCAACTTGAGGTCTGTAGCCCCATGGTCTACCTGTATTCCACCCGGCAGCTTTCCATGAACTACAATGGTGTCCCCAACCTTCTCCAGTCACACAAATGTATGGGTCCTTTTTGTTAGGTATGTCTTTGTATATAGCTGCGTATTGTGCTTGTGGAAATGTACAAGTAACTATGTCACAGTAATCAAAGGTGTATGTGGCTACATCAGTACTATGTCACAATAACCAGAAAGTGTAGACGTGATTATCTTTGGTTATGGCCACTTGTTGGGCCCAAGCAAAGTGTAGCAACATAAGAAAACACAAGACACATAATACATTCATTTTTCAACAGGAACAATCTCTTCTGGAGCAGGCACTTTTTTGCAATGTGAAGCGTGTATCCAAGAACTCTTCCCAGCTAGTTTAACTGACGTTGCTGTAATCAGGAGCACTTGATAAGGACCATCAAATCTCGGTTCTAGGGTGTGTTTCCTGAGAAACTTCTTGACCATAACCCAATCACCCGGAAGCAGCTTGTGTGTACCTGTATTCGACTCAGGATCTGGAATAGAAGAAAACACTTGGGCATTTATCTTGGTCAAGGCATGTGAGAGGGCAGTCACATAGTCTACCATAGCATCTGACTGAATCTGAAGCTGTTGGGGAAAGTAGCAACCTAACCTGGGTGCTGTACCAAACAAAATCTCATAAGGTGACAAGCTATATTTTCCTCTGGGAGTGTACCTTACACTAAACAACGCTAGTGGGAGACTCTCGGGCCAGGGAATGTTAGTTTCTTGTGACATCTTAAGCATTCTGGCTTTCAAAGTGCCATTCATGCGTTCTACCTTACCGCTACTCTGTGGGTGATATGGTGTGTGGAATGCAAGGGTCACCCCCAGTGCTGACCAGACTTCCCGTGTTAGCGAGGCAGTGAAGGAGGTCCCTTGGTCACTCTCAATTACTTCTGGAACCCCATAGCGACAAACAATTTCTGTCAAAAGGTACTTGGCTGTAGTCCTCGCGGTGAGATTAGTCACTGGGAAGGCCTCTGGCCATCCTGAAAACATGTCCACTATGACCAATGCATATTCATAACGTCCACTCTTTGGCATCTGAATGTGATCAATCTGGATCCTCTGGAAGGGGTATTGTGGTTTAGCTAGGTGATTAGGTGCAGTCTTTATAATCTTTCCAGGATTGCATTTAGCACATATAGTACAAGATTTACAGTAATTCTGTGTTAAGGTAGTGATGCCTGGTGCTTCAAAATACTTGTCAATCAGTGAGTTCATCAAGAGTTTCGACAGGTGGGCTGGCCCATGGGCCCACTGGACCACCGCTGAGTACATACTTCTGGGTAAGCAGAACTTGAGATTGATGGTGTAAACATCATCACGGAGTACAGCTCCTTTATTCTTCCAACTTTGTTTCTCCTGGGGAGTAGCAGCAGCTTGTTGTTCCTTCCGGAGCCTAAGATCTGTAGGCAATGTTTGCATAGTGTAGATGGGTAATGTATCTGTGGCCACTCTTCTGTCCACTTCCCATCCTTACCGTGCTGCTTCCTTAGCCGCCTGATCAGCTAGGTGGTTGCCACGTGCTTCTTCTGTGTCTAGTCTTCCGTGGGCTTTTATTTTCAGTACTGCCACTTCTGCTGGAAGTTCCAATGCATCCATCAGTTCTGCAATGGCTGCCCCATGTTTTACTGGGGTACCGGTAGCTGTAAGAAATCCTCTGGTCTTCCAAATTAAGCCAAAGTCGTGTGCCACTCCCAGGGCATATCTTGAGTCCGTGTAAATATTGACACGTAGACCTTCAGACAATTTGCAGGCCACAGTCAGGGCTGTTAGCTCGGCTTCTTGAGCAGACTTAGCTGGTTGTAGGGCAGCTGCTTGTAATACTTGGCATCCTGTGGTGACTGCATACCCAGTGTGATATTGTCCCTGTTCATCATCAAACCTTGACCCATCCACAAATAGTGTTTGGTCCGGGTTGAGTAATGCAGCTTCGTAGACAGTTGGTAGGTGTGTAGTTTCCATTTTCATTTGTTCAAAACAATCATGAGGAATATCTAGGTCACAGTCTGTGGTGAGTGGGTCTTCA